TTGTCCTGGGTTTAGGTATGCCTTCCCCCCGCCAGCCCGGGCTGCCGGCAAAGGAGGAAGAGAAACAGAAGTGGGAGGCAGCTATCTTCAGCGGTCAGGGGCTGTGCAGAGCGCCAGGGAACGAGCCCCGGAAGCAGGCGCGCGGCTGAGGCTGGCTGGTGTGTCCCTGCGTGCACCCTTCACCGCAGGCCCCGAGACACATCATTTCTGCGGGCCTAGCATCACAGTAGGGGCAGACTGGCGCAAAGCATGTTGGACCCTGAGTGGTTAAAGTCCAGCTCGAGGATATTTCTGTGGAGGCCAGTGAACATGAGGGAGATGGGAGAATGCTCATGGCTGGTTGGCTAGTTGGTTGGTTTTTGTCTGAAGCCAGGATTTAGTGGTGTGACTGGGCTGACGGGACCCTCAGACATGCGGTCCATATCTTTTGAGAGGTCGGGTTGGGATAGTTTTCCTTATTGTGCTTCTTTTCACATCGGCCACAGGAGTCTCCATGTACATTTAAAATCAGGAAGGTACCCTTGACTTTAAAAAGAAGCCCACTGCTAATTCTTGGGGCCCTTGGCCCCTGTGGGGGTCCCTGAGTGTGTGGCCATGTGACGTCCTTGGGACCCTGAGCAGGCTGTGGCCCTGGGGACACTCCCCCCACCCTGGTGCACACGTGGCCCGTGGTCACCCTGATGGGCTGCTGCAGAGCGTGCCTGTGACACAGGGCACTTTGGGGCCCAGGGAACGTGGCTTCATAAACGGCCACGGTGTCAGTTTTAAGTATTTCGCAGAACTGCAGGGCCAGGGAGATTGGATTTTGAGCAGCACTGTGAGCAGTGCCCGTGCTCATGGACTTAGGTGGTGTTGACACACTTTCCTGGAAGCTGGCTCAGCACCGCGTGGGCCGGTCGTTGTCACTGGCCGTGAGGAGAGCGATGCTCTGGGCCGATCAGGAGCCGGCTCGCTGGGCCCCAGAAGCACTCTCTCCTCGGCTGGAGTGCTGCGTGAGGGCTTGTCCGCATTCTGCCCTTCGGTGGAGCAAGGCTCTGTTTCAGTTCACCTTTAAAAGTAAAAATCTGTTTGGGTTTCCACTTCAGTGTGGTCGTTAAACTCCAAAGTCAGAGTCAAAGAAACTGAATTCTCAGGATCTAATTTTTTTTTCCTGAGCTCAATGTCGGCTTAAATAGGAATTCAGTATTAAACTCTGGTCAGAGTAATGGCATCTGTTGTTACTGGTTTTTTTCCTTTGGAAAAATTAGGTGGTGCACATCTTAGTTTAATTTGCTCATAATAGTTTCAATCTGCAAAAAAACACCTTCTCAACACTTCTCCCCCACCCGTAGAATAGTCTCATCTTCACCTCTGTTAGTGAAGTACCAGCTGTACATGACCATGTGCGTTTGTCAGCATCTCTCCGAGTCCTATTTTTCACAGCCTGAAGGCTGCACTCGTGGGGCACATTTGTCCCTTCCCCAGGGAGGGAGGGCATGGAGGACCCCCCCGGGGGGCCCTGGCTGCCCTGCCGTGCTTGAAGCAGGTACAGGAAAGTGAGCAGGCGTCCCTCACCTCGTACCTCTTCCTCAGTTTCAGAAGCTGGGAGCACAGAGGATCTCTGTGTCACAAGATCTGGGGACGGGCCTGACGTGTGTAGTGACACCATGGGTGACAGGTGCCACAGTTTGGCTTGTTCTCAGGGCCTTCGGTTTAGGAGCTTCCCATCCACGTTCCTGCCCCCTTCATCTGATAACGCAGAGCACCTCTCCGAATGCAGCGGGAAGGAGACCTGCAGGGTAGCTGTGGGGCATTTTGGGGGAATCAAGTCCTAATCTGTAATTGCTACTTTCATGAAAACTCCATGACAGTATTGTTTTTCTGGGAGTTCGATCGTCCTGTGAATTTTAATCACCAGTATCTGGTGATGGTTGTTTCAGTGTTTCTGTAATGATAATGGAAAGATCTCGCTTTCCTTCTAGGTTCTGGCGGAAAAGTAAATATTTTGAGACTATATTCAGTGAATTTCTGCCTGTTCTTCATTTGCACATTAAATGAGTACCAAGCAGTTGGAAGGGAACCCAGGGCTATGTGTGGGCAGCTTGGGGGTGTGGGTGACACCAGGAGAGGGGGCACACTTGATTATAAGATCTGTTGTTCAAAACACCATTGTGTGGGTTTCTCGGCCGGAGCCGCACTGGGCTGCCCTCCGGGTTGTGCGTTTCTGGGGATTGCCGACACCACGGAGCCCCCCAGCTGCTGGCCGTGGCCTGCTGCAGCCGAGGTGGGCGGGTGCCTTCACCTGTGCACACAGCTGTGTGGCCCTCCGGCAGGATCCCTTCTCCCAAGCCCTGTGGATTCCGCCTAGCGCCCCCGCAAGTGCTCCAGAAGCCACAGCCGGGAAAGTACTGGCTCATTTCTGATAGTCTCACTGTCTCCAGTTCATGTAAGGTGCCTGTTTGGACTGTGATGTTTTTCGTAGGAAAGCTCTGAAAAGTGACTGTCGGAGTCCATGCCATGGACCCCACGGGTGGGCACTGAGCAGGACCCCTTCCTCACAGCCCTGCCCTCACACACCGCTGCCTGATTGGCTGCCAGCCCCCGTCCTCACACCTGGGCTCCACCTGCCTTCCACGAGCGGCGTCTCCCGTGGGAGGGGCACACTGTTGCGTGGGGTCCGCACACCTCTCCCCTTCCTCCTCCCTCCTGCACTGGTTTTGGGCCTAGATACCCCTGCCTCTCTGCTATTCTATCCCTATGTTCCTGGCTGGAAATGAGTCCCTTTCCCCTTTGTAGAAGGTGGGAGGTGGCCGGGTTTGTGCCCAGTTTGTGGGTCCGCTGCAGTGGGAAATACCACCCAGTTGCTGGGACTCTGCTGTGTGTGTGACCAGACAGGACTGGCTTGAGCTCAGGCCCTGCTGACGTGTCCCGCCCTGGCTCTGAGTCCCATGCGGCTTGGCCATCAGGCCACTTCCCCAGCAGCAGGGCCGGGGAGCCGGGAGGCTGGCTGTCCAGGGCCACTAATGGGGTGTGTCTGCGGAGGCCGGGCAGAGAGCCTTCTGCAGCAATGTCTGGGGGGGGTATGGCCGGAAGGTCTGGCCGGCACGTTGCCCTTAGGCCGGCCCATGGGCCAGGCATCCCGCACCCACTCCCGCTTGCACGGTCCGCACTTAGAAGTCGGTGGTTTGTTCCTTTTGCTCATCAGTTGTTAGTGCTAGCTTCGTCTGAGGTTTTGGTGAATGTCCTTTTTATTGGCTAGCACGCATGCTCCCACTCCCGGGTTGTAGGCTTTCTTTGGAGAATGAGTGAGAATTTTCATTTTATAAATTTCTATAATGATCTTTTTCTTTAACATTTTTGGTGTAATATGATTTGAACCTCACAAAAGTCACAGACATGGTGGGTGACATATTACATCTTCACAGAAAAGAGCTCTAAGCAATCTGAAATCCTGTTTTCTTAATTTACAAGTTGCTCTGGTTGGTAACAGGAGCTGGTAATTCTGCACTCTGGAGATGGCATCGTGGGAAATGGGCCCAGGGAGCCGGCTGGGGCTCCTGGTGGTGGCACCTCTCCCTCATTCCCTGTGGACTCTGGTGGGAAAATGCTTGACCCGTGCATTCTTTGCTGCCTGGACCCTCCTCCCTGGCAGCACGGGGGCTCCCAGTGCCCGCTCCCCCAGAGCTGGCAGGGGTGGGCGCAGCATGCACAGGAGCACTGAGCAGGCTGGTAAGGGACCAGCAGGAATCTGGGTGTCCCAGGATATACAGTGCCTGCTCCCCAGGGCAGCCAGACGTCACCGTGAGGGCAGTGCCCACGGAGAAGGCAGCTCCATCACACACATCCACACACGTACTCACACCCAGGGCTGCTTCACGTGTCTCTTTGTTGACGACTTTTCTTGGGCACAGAGACAGTTGAGCAGAAAGCTGAGTGGCCTCCCTGGTCCCCTGCCCTCTGACCCTCCAGCACATCACGGGGGCCTGGGCAACGATGCTGGGTACAAAGTCCTATAGGCCCCACTCCATCCTGGTCACCCCTGCCTGCACCTCTAACCCCCAAAGTTTGCTCCTCACAGGAGCCTGTCCATTTCCTTCTGTTGTAACCTGCTGTTCTGAGAGTACAGTGCCTTCCTTACAGAACAGCACGTCCTGCCCCGCACGGCCACCACCCAGTCCTGCTCACTCCACGTTCCCCATCCTCTGCCTTTCTGTCACCAAGCGTCGTGCTCCAGGCCGGGCCTGCTGGCTTCTGCGTGCCTTGACATTCCTGGCCGGTCCCTTGGGTGGGCACCATAGTCCCTGGGAACAGCCAGAGGGATGTACTGGTCTGTCCCTGTCTTAGACACTTGATGGCTTGGATCTGGGAGGACACATGTGTTAGATTTCCTTGCCGGAAAGTTCCGGGGCTGCTGGGCTGCATGCTGCCCCCACCCTGCACAGGGAACAGGACGGCCGCCCAGCCAGGAGGGGCCGCAAACATGTGCGTTTTGCTTGTTGACAGCCCATCCGTGTTTCTCTCTCATTGCTGGGTGGGTTTCCAGCAAACGGGCGCGTCCAGCCGGGCTGTCGCGAGCAAGCTGCCGTGCCCTTCTCATCCGGGCCTGTGTGTAGATGTGTCCCCATGGCCAGGGACAGGGTTGCTAGCTTCTGGGGGCAGACGTGCATCTAACCTGGTGAGGAGGTTTTCCCAGTTTTCCAAGGCAGCCATGCCACATCCTGCTCCACCGTGTCGCTCTCCAAGAACTATTCCCAACTCAGGACATCACCCAGATCTTCGTGGGTATTTTCTCCTAGCAGCTCAGTGGTTTTTACTTTCATTTTTACCACTTAAAGAGTCAGCAGCTGTACTCTGTGTGTGGAAGGGGCAGAGCCGAGGGCCTCGGGTCAGAGGTGCTGGCCGTGCAGAGGGCAGCCTTGCTCTGGGCTGGCACCCGCGTGGGGATGCCTGGCACGTGTGTGCCCCGCCCCACCTGGGAGCGAGGCCCTGACCGTCTTTGTGTCCCCCTTCCCTGCCCGCAGCATCAGCAGGAGCTGCTGGCCATGAAGCATCAGCAGGAGCTGCTGGAGCACCAGCGGAAGCTAGAACGGCACCGCCGGGAGCAGGACCTGGAGAAGCAGCACCGGGAGCAGAAGCTGCAGCAGCTCAAGAACAAGGAGAAAGGCAAAGAGAGTAAGTGTGTGGGCAAGGTCCTGGGCGGGCGCTGGGGCCTCGCCGAGGCGGCCCTTCCCGTGGGCCTCATGCTCCGGGCCCCGTAAGCAGCGGCCCTCGGGCAGAGCCACCCCCAGGTGGAGCCCGCCGTGTCACCCGCAGCTCTGGGCGCGTGTAGGCCGTATCTGTGTCCTCACTTGGGGTGGGCAGCACCACCTTTGGCTTGATGAAAGCATACTCAGCAGGTGCAGACTGGCTTCACCTATGAGTTCAGTCCCAAAGGTTTCAAAGTTCTTTTCTCTTGCAAGCATTTTGTGAGCCCCCTAGAACCAGACCTGGCTTGTGGCGTAGCCCGGGGGCTGAGTGGGGATGCGGTGGCCGACTGCCTATTTTCACATTTGCTCTCTTGACTCCAACATTTGCTTTTGCTAGTGGCTGTGCTTGGGTGTCTGAAGACCAGTATGGTCTGTTATCTTCCAGGAAAGGAGATGATTCTATGTGCCGTTCTCCCTTTGGAAGATTATGGGGGACTGTTTCCCATGTCCCTGGGGAGGAACCACAGCCCACTGCCACGTGCCTAGCCACTGCACCAAGGGCGCCTCCCGTGGGCTCAGCAAGGACCAGGGCTTGTGAGGCCTGGTGTGTGCTCCACATGGGCTGCATCCCAGCAGACTGAGGCTGAAGCCATTTGTCCCACATGCGCGTCTGTGCCTCCTTCTTTGGATAGCTTATTTCCAGTGACACACCCAGAACCTAGACAGGAGAGTGAGTGGGTGGCACATTCCCAGGCTCTGTTCATTTCCACCCGAGACTCAGTGCTCCGCTGAACTTGTTTGGTGCAAGTTCAGTGTGGGGACTGTAGGGTGACTGACTCTTCCAGTGCTTGTGAGCAAAAATAGTTGTTCTTGCATACTTCGGTAACACACATGAATCTGAGAAATCGGTTATCTTCAACTACTGAAAATGGTTAGCCATCTAGACAAACCACCTTCACAACCCGTTGTTTAGATTTTAATCTACATACGCATGACAGCATGAGATGTATTAAAGCATTCTTGTAAAGTCTGTTATTTGAAATTATTTAAGAATCTGTCATATTGGTGTATGATACATACAGAACAAGTACATACCCTTTAATATAAAGGGAACTGTTTGTAAGCTCGCCTCCCAGTAAAGCTCCCAGACCAGGAAGGGAGCAGCATCTGGGCCCCTGTGCCCTCCAGTCCCTGCCCCTGCCTCCTTCCCCAAGTAACTCCTCCCCACCACCTCACACCCAAGGCACTTTGGCCTACTTTTGAGGTTTATATAAATGGACTCATTAATACACAGGCTCTCGTGTTTTGCATCTCTCACGCACCGTCACACTTGTGTAGTGTGTCCTCGTTGTGTCCTGTGTAGCAGGAGCTCACTGATGTTGGTGGCTGCGTGCTGCCCATCTCACGGGCACACCGTCATGGCCCATCCTGCGCTTAGTAGGTTTCCTGGGTTTCCAAACCAGAGCTGTGACGGGTGATGCCAGTACGCGTGTCCTTGGACACGTCCCCTGGTGCAGACGGGCAGGTGTGAAGTGGCTAGAGCTGAAGTTTAGGGGATGTACATGCCCACCTTTCACAGTGAGGCCCAGCCGTTTCTAAAGCACTGTCCCAGCTGCACAGGGCAGCGCCCACTGCTCACATCCCTGCCAACACTTGTTGCCGTCAGCCACAATGAGCTTGGCTGTGAGCACTCGTCCCGCTGGCTTCAGCCGCATGGTCTGATTACCAGCGCAGTTCAGCACGTTCTCCTGTCCCATGTCAAGTGCCTGCCTGTTCAAGCCTCTCCCTCATTTTTGTGGTGGGTTGTCACCCTTTTTCTTGACTTGGGTGGTTCTGTTCACGTTCTGGCCCCGAGCCCTCTGCCAATGTTCTGTGTTACACACACCTTCCGCCATGCTGCTACGTGTCCTCGGTCTGGTGGCACCTGTGTAGCACGCGGGCTCCCACTCCCAGTGTGACCTGACCCACCGGTCTTCTCTAGACCAGAATCAGGACACAATGCCTGCAGTACTGTGTACGTTGGCATACACATTCTCATTCAAAAAGGCTGTTGTTTTTTCCTAACGTATGCAGCCAATGTATTTTTCTCGTGTTCAGTTGTTTTCCATTTAACTATTTGTAAGTTTTTAGTAGTTGGTTTTATACATAAAAGTACCAACTTTTATGATCACTAGTTACTACAGCATATTTTACTCTTGAAATAATATGCTTTAAATGTATTTTTATTTTAACGGTCTGGTAGAGTTTCAATGTAGAAAACATATCAGGAGAATTTTTATTCCACATGAGATCTAATTTTTGTACCGATATTTGAAAGTAATTACTACATCTGAGGGGTGTACCTCATTATATCGCACCAGTCAGATGAGATGGGAGCTTACAGGCTGTGATCGCCCACAGTCTAGATTCCAGGCACGAGGACAAAAGGCCATCAGGGAAAACTAAATTTCAGATTTGGGTTGGCAACAGACACCCTTGCCCTTTGAGTGCAGACTTGTATCAGCGGCGGGCGGGCTGATGGGGCAGATGGGGTGGTCACACGCATCACCCTCACTGCCTAGCCTGCCAGCTCAATGACATTCTCCTCTGTCCACAGCCCCGTGCTGGCCCAACCACTGCGTGTATTGTGTGTGTGGACTCCTTTGTGTCAAGGGACCTTCTTGGCCGAGGTGTGGCCAGGGCGCTGACCACCTGTGAGTGGTAGCACGTGGTGTCGGGAAAATCCCCCGATGTGCTGGTATACTGGTCTGGAGTGGAGGGTGGGCTTCAGCATTGTCATTTCTAGAACTCCATGGATCATTCCAGTGTGCAGCCGGGGTTGAGAACCGTGCATCTAGGTGAGTCCTCTCACTCTGTGTTGGAATCTGGCTACCACAAGGGCTCCATGGCCTTCCATTGGAGGCAGCCTTCTGTTCTGGAAACCCACCCCCATAGATGACAGCACCCGGTCCTTATCGGAGGCCTGCGAGAGGAGCTTCGGCTGGGGGGGCCAAAGCCACGGCAGGGCAGCACACACCCGTGCCCCTGCCTTGGGTCCTGCCTCCTTTTCCACTCTCCTGTGCTTTGCTTGGGCCTCACTTGTGTATCCTACTTAATGTATTTTGCTTTGGAGGAGGGAAGTCGTTGTTTATCAAAGGATGGAAGTTAAAACTGTAAGTATCAGCTAGTTGATGTGTGCCACAGCTAACCAACAAACACCAGGTTTCCAGATCGCGAAAAAGCAGCTCAGGCTGAATTAGTTCCTCGTAGTTTACCTGAATCTTCCAATAAAAATAACATCTTAAGCCTCACAAAATGTGAGAAGATTTGACTTCAGAAAACATTTTAGATCTGTTTACACGTCAAAAACAATTTCTTCACTACCTACTAAACATCTTCGCCGCCCCACCTGGAGCGTTGGAATGTTCTCTGCTTCCCTCCACGCTCGTCACTAGCAGCAACCCTGGTGGTTTTCAATTTGTGGATTTGGGTGGTCAGGTTTTATTATTAATAATAAACTGTGTACAGTTTGGGTATTTGGCATGCTCGTGTAGGCTTTGCAGCCCTGAGTGTGGTCTTGTGAGAAGGCAGGCCTGGCAGGCCGCTGTGGTGGACACCACTCGGGGGCTCTTAATGTGAGCAGGGCCGCGGGCGGGCTCCACACCGATGAAGGAGAGCCTTGTTCACACCAGCTAAAAGGGCATTTGTGGGGGAATGCAAATGGCCTGGGGCGTCTCCCATTTGTAAGCATTTGAAAATGCAGTGCAAGGCATCCGTGTAGTTTCTTGGGGTTTTTTAAAAGTGAATTTCCTATTGAATATTTAATTAAAGTTTTGTTTTACATTTGTAAACATTTACAGCATTTCTAATTTTAAATAATTCTGCAGTTCTTTTACTTATTGATACCAGTTAATGCTATTAGCTCTAAGGAACAGTGAATTCCTAGAATTTGTGGCATTTCGTCTCATTCGGCATGAACACATGCTCTTTAGTCAGGTAAGTTTTACTTAGATTAACTACATTTAGGAATTGAAGACACATGGACTCAAAGGGAGAATCCAATAGAAGGCAAGTCTTTGTTCTCTGAGCAGTCTGGAGCGAACACAGTGACATTTCTGTTCGCTGCTATTTACAAGCACAGCCCCATCATTCACTTTGTTTAAAAAAAAAAAAAAAAGGCTCAAAGGGCTGGAGTTAAAAGATCCAACACCTGATCCAGAAAGTAATTCTCTGTCCCATTTGTGAAGTTGGGCCTTCCTCAGAGGCCAGTGGGGCAGGAGAAAAATGAGTCAGTCGTGATGGGTGGTGTCTAGGAGCACCTTCTCCTCCGCCTGGGCCCCCAGGTACTTGGGCAGGTGCTCCACACCATCTGCTCGGCCCCTCGCGCCGCCTGGTCTGTACTTACCAGCCTCTTCCTTACATCCCTCCTCCTGTGCGGAAGGGGCTTTGTCTCTTTCCCCAGCGACCAGACCAGACTCTGGCACGTAGTTAGGTCTCTATGAACCCTGTCAAATGAATGAGTGATAGTCAGCCTGAATTAATTTTTCTTAAAAAGTGAAAATTAGAGATGTTTGGTATTTGTGTACTGAATGTGTTTTATTGGTTCTGTAACTCTGGTTTAACGTGGAGGGATCTGGATGAGCCCAGGATGATGTATGGAAGTGTGGAATCACCGTGCACTGGAAACTAATATAACACGATGTAAACTTAGCTGGAATTAAAATACAAACTTTAAAAAAAAAGGAGAGGAGAAAACAATTTCTTTACTCCATCAGTATTTCCTAAGTGTCAGAAAAACTGCTCTGTGAGGCGTGTCGGGTTAGAATTGAGGATACTAATAAGAGTGCCAAGATTTCAACATACACAAAGAGAATAAACAGTAGCCTGCAGATGAGAACGCAAAAAGCAGCAGAATCCGTTGAAAGATGAGTAAACAACTAGAAGGATAATGGCTCTTCTTTGAATTCTCTCCTGTAAAGCATTGTGAAGGAAAGAAGGTCCCTCCGCGGTACGCAGAGCTGAGCATGTGTGGCTCTGTGTTACTTGGGTTTGCTCGGCCATGCCTGTGTGCAAGTGTAAGGACGTGTACCCAGCCGAGCCCGCCACCCCTGGGGGGAGGGGACAGGGAGGGCCGCGGGGGGTCCGCCCTTGTGACCAGGTCATCATCTGCCCCCTCTTGTAATGTGGTCTTGGCCAGACATGTCAGGGAGGTGCCGTGGCATCCCTGTAGTCTCTTCATGCCAGAAGGAACCTTCCTGAGTTCAGGGAGGTAGGCTTGTCTTGACTGGATCCAAGAGGGCCTGGAAGGTGCTTTCTCCCACACTGAGCGGGCAGAGGGACCACGTGTCAGTCGTGCGACCTACCTCTTCCTGTGAGGACACCGGTGACAGGGGACAAGGGCTGACGGGGCCAGTGTCCCCTCCAGGTGGGGCAGCTGCCCCTTGCCACGTCTTGCTGTATTTGCCTGTCCCTGCGATTTATCTCCTGCTCTCCCTGCTGGGATGGAGCATTTATTCTTTGCGCTTCTTTGGGTTCTGGAGCCTGTGATGCCAGCCAGGGGTATGGCTGGAGCAGGGAGAGTCAGAGGCTCCCGAAGCACAATCCTTGGGACCATCCTGTCCCTGGAGTGCTCGCAGGGGACTCACAAGTGTCTCTCCCGTGGAGGGAAAGTGGGTCCACATTGACAGGTGTTTCTTGAGAAGATAAGGCCAGCTAATGCCCAGGTTTGATTTGCTGGGAAACTTCCAGAAACGTCCTTACTCCACGTACTGAGACACTCTGCTTCACATTGTCCACTCTCCTGCAGCCACAGTTGTGGAGGACCAGGGGTCCGTCTTCTGCTCCCCCATCTGGGTCTTCCTCCTCCTGCTGCTCTTCCCCCACCCCCTCCTCATCATCAGGCAGTCTGATCACTTCGCTGTGAGGCCAGCAGCACCAAGAAGTGGAAAAAAACCCAAAGCTCCTCATTTCTTTGTGGTTTCTTTTATCAGCTGGGTACACTTAGATATTACTAGCAAATTTGCATTTCCCTCTTAAATGGCCCTCTGTGCCCTCTGCTCTTCCCTGTCCCCCCCACCCTGCATCACCTCTTGCTCCTGGTTGCAAGGCGTGCTGTGTCCTGACATGGTTAACCCTTGGCGTATTTCCTCAGCCATCCTCTGGTGCTGATGCGGTGTTAGGAATGCCAGGTGGCTGCATGTCCGGGCACGCTATACTCAGATCTCCATGTCTGTGTGATTTTCACATGGGCTCTGAATGTCCTGAATCGGTGTTCGGTCTGACACTGGCTATGTTTGGAGGGCACCGAGCAGCGATGCTCAGAAGCAGGTGTGACTTCATGCCTTTGGTCACCTCCCACGGCCTGGCCTGTCTGTGTCCATCCTCCCGTGTGCCCTCTGCCCGGCACACGCGACATGCACAGAGCTCTGGCGGACTTCTCTTCTTGTGCGCCGATGGACCCTGGGAAGGCCTGGGACAAAAGCCCATGTATCGTGATGGGAGCTTCTGAAAGTGCTTTGGAATCGGTTTAGCGAACTTTCTGTGTGTTTCCCTTGGAGGAGTTCATTCAGGCCCCACTGCAGCTGCCGAGGACCCACTCCCCACGGGTCTGTGCTGTCTGACCGCCACCTACCACATGTGGAACGCCCTCTGTGACGTAACTGCAGGGGCACGCTGCCCTCGAGAATGCAGACACACCTACAGCCAGACGAAAAGTCGGTTTGTGAATGACAGCGTGTACTGGGGGTGTGAAAACAGTGGCAGGAAAGACAGTTTCTCTAATGATATTAACAATTTATGAGCAATTTGTCAAAATATCTGTAGAGTCTCATACACCAAAACCCATTTCATGTGTATCAGAGAGAAACGTGAAAAACCAGCACCAGCAGCAGTTCAGTGACTGAAAACCCAGCACCAGAAAGCCAAGGATAAAATAAAACTGGTTATTTACCAAACCAGCGAAAGCAAGATCCATTTCAACACTTCCAGGAAATGGAAAAAACTGCAACAAGGAAATTAGGGCAGACTACGTAAAAACAAGCATTTGAATTTTAAACGAGGAAAGAACCCAGGGTTTCCTCCCTTTGTTGGGGGAAACCTGGTCCTTTCCTCCTGTGTTTGTCCTTTACTTTTACACGGAGCCACACTCGCCTGGAAAGCCTCACTTCCAACAGTGCTGGTTGCCGCCTACATGGGGTCTCCCACCAAGTACTGCTTGGCCACCACCAGCTGTCCTGCCGTGTAGCCAGTCCTGACACAGTAGGGGTTCAGTCGCACGAGTCTGCCCCCGCTTCGGACACCAGCTGCAAATCCAGGTTGCAGGTCAGGCGTGTCACAACCCCCTCCTTGGGCTCCTTTAATTTGCCAGAACAGCTCACAGAACTCAGGGGAGTTCTTACGTAGGTACTGGCTTATTAAATGATGTGACAGAGGACACAGATGGGCAGCCAAATGACGTGGTGCATACGGACGAGGTCCGGGCAGGTCCTGAGTGCTGGAGTTTCTGTCCCCGTGCAGTTGGCGTACATCACCTTCGCAGTACGTGGATATGTTTGCCAACACGGAAAGCTCTCTGAACCCCATCCTCTTGGGACTTTATGGGGGCTTCCTCATGATAAATTATTATCTCCATTTCCAGATCCTCTCCCTTCTTGATGGGGCTGAAAATTCCAAGCTTCTAATCATGGCTTGGACTTTCAGTGACCATCCCCGTCCAGGAGCCTCCCAAGAGTGCAGCCATCACATCAAATGAAGAGTTTACAAGGGTTTTAGGAGCTCGGTGCCAGGAGCTGGGGTCGGGTGTGTGTGTGTGTGTGTGTGTACGTACGTTATATGTACGTACACACATACACACATATGTACATACACACACATAAGCACATACACACATTATCTCACAAAATTAGAATATCCTCCCAGTTGTAAAAGGAAACAAGAGCCAGGGCAGAGGCTTGCACACAAAAGTGGAGGAGAGGTGAGAGCTGGGGCCAGGGACCAGCTGCTTCGGTTTGACCCTGCCGCTGAGTACCGGCCCTGAGGTTCCCCCACACCACATGGGGCTGATGATCCCACTTACGGTGCTCATGTGAACTTTAAACATGTGAGGCCTAGAACGTAGGAGGCTCACAATAGATTTATCACTACAAAACATACAGCTCAAATGGATAAACATTTAAAACACACACACAGACCCACAGTGCCACCACCAAACATACCACGTGAAGACTGTGAAAGAAAAATAAACCAAGGACATAAAGATATATCACCAGACTGACAGATAACTGCTTGCTCGGGTAGTTATCGGGAACCACAGTGAAATACCAGCTACCCTTCCCATTTGCAGCAAGTGACAGTCGCCAGTACTGATGAAGACAGAGTCACGTGGTAATCCCGAGTACTGATGGACAGAGGTGTGGGGTCATCCTGAGTACTGA